TGAAGCTTGGATAAGCATGGAATAATAATAATACAACACAAAATGTACGTAAACAAAATGTATTGAAACAAGGAAAAGGTACACAATATTTACAGATAGTTTGGTATATTCTTGGGAAGACTGTTCCTGTAGAATGGGTGACTTAATCGCAGTAGGGCAGAGTCTCTGGATTGCATCTCTTGTTACTTCCCTTCATCGTCTTCCCGGTACCAACCCATATTTATATGGTCGGTACTCCACGATGTAAATTAGGTGGATCCTACCACAACACTAAATTACTTTCTTTTTTGATGAGTGTGACATTTTTTAGATCAAAATTGTGTTCGAATTTATTCCTGCGTATGACTAGTACATGTGATAAATTGTTATGTATAAATTCCCTTTTGTGTTCATAGATACGTTATTTTATTATTTCTGCATGTCTCACCAATGTATTGTGAGGAACAGTTTTGGCATCAAATCAATGAAAAGTATTAAATCCATAACCCCATGTTTTTGAGGGTGGACAGCACATACATACATCTTATACCATAACAATCTAATCACAGTTTAAACAATATTCATTTAAAATCCAACACGCATTATATATCACAATATATACGACATAATTATATATACAGTGTAACCCGGATGTAAGAGACCCAGATATAAGTGAGATTTTCTCTGGTTCCAAATTGTTCCCATACTTACCTAAACAAAATAGACCAAACCCGGATATAAGAGAAACCCTGATATAAGAGACTTCTTCTCCGGTTCCGACAACTCTCTTATATCCGGGTTACACTGTGTATATATATATATATATATATATATATATAGAGAGAGAGAGAGAGAGAATGATACTATTAGTATGTAATATGGATTTCTGAAAGGTTTTTCTCCAATATTCAGAAGCTTGTACGTTTCTCTTCCAATTTTCTAATTGGGATTTTAAACCGTGCATTTAAATCCGAAATAGCATGCTGTAGAACTAATTTAATTCCTAAGTAATCAAACACTAAAGGCAGGCTGTTTGCAGCGCAAAAAAAAAAACAAAAAAAAAACAATTAAGACAACGTAGAAGTATCATGGGAATATTAACTGAGGTTTACAAAACATAATTGATTTGACAATATTCTCAAAGGTTAACAATAGCGAAATTTAAAATCCGAACCCACGCAAATCTCGTATGGGACTTCATAAGAAAAACGTGACTTTGCATTGGTTTTGAGGAAAACATGCCAAAAGATTTACAAATATCAAGTGTGTTGCTCAGGGATTCTCAATTTGATTGTTCGACATTGTTTCGCCATTACACGTGTCAGGAAATAATGCACTTGGCAAATCGTTCGACCGTAAAGATTTGCTTCTGACTTAAACATCAGACTTTTTGCCTGTTTTTGAAAATTAAGATTTTTCACCTAACTAGAAAGAATTAGGACTCTTTTTAAATCAACCTCTAGAGCCTTCTTTTATAACTACCCATAGTTATTGTCATTGAGGCATTTTCTACGGCTTATCAACCCTTTGCAGTTTATTTGAAGCCATAAAATGCTTAGATTGCAAGGATATTTTTGGGAGTTAGTAATGATTTAGTGATACAAGTTTTACTAATGAACCCATAGCTGGGGTAGAACAGGTTGATCCATAACTAATCAAAATTTGATTTTGTTTGTTTCTTTAGCGGTAAATCAAGTCCTTAAGAGCTATTTAATACAAAAAAATTATTTTCTTAGGAGGGTTACAATAATGTATTGTTGGTAATATATTTTTTTTTTCTTTCAAAAAATTTATTACTGGTATATATATATATATATATATATATATATATATAGGTAACTATACTCGTTCGAAAAACCTTCGAATTTTTGATTTGTCAGTAATCAAATCAGTCTCGAAGGAAAAAAAGGTTTTAAAAAAGAAAGAGCTAGAAACATGAAAGTCTGTCGAAAAAATCGCTTTGAAAGGTTTGTTTTATATATATATATATATATATATATATATATATATATATATATATATATATATATATATATATATATATATAGAGAGAGAGAGAGAGAGAGAGAGAGAGAAAGAAAAAAGAATGAATAAATGAATGAATGAGAAAGAGGAGGCACGTTGGAGTAATAGATAACAGCTTGGATTGAGGAATCGGAGATTCGAGTTCGAGTTCCAGTCGAAACCACTACATTCACTTTAATACCCTTGGAAAAGGTATGAACCCTCTTCTTCTCCCTCCAACCATAGGTAAATAGTAGAACAGACTGATTGTTTTCAGCTGAACGGCCTTGGATGGCAACTGGTCTAGAAGGACAACTCTGAATTCCAAGTGACATATGTACGGCGATCCAAATAGGCAGCAGGTTTCAGTTCTTGTGTTAATTGAATTTTATAACCTTTTTTTTCAAAATTCGATGTGACGCTGTTGCGGAGTCGTTCAATTCCTGCGCGCGATGACGAATAGAGGTGTCTGCATTTTCGGACACATTTTTGTGCACTGTAGGAATGTTTTCAGCTGAACGGCGTATACGAGCACACAATGGTGTCTTCACATCTACCACCAACTGCGTTTGTTTGAATTTACGAACAATTTTTCCAATTGCACTCTTGGTTGGTCGATTATGTTGACCAAGCGAAATGCATTTCTGCTTGAATGTCTATTTTGCGTAATAGGTTAACTTTAACACTTGTTTGAGTGTTGATCTTTTCATGGTTAAAATTATCAAAGACTTAAGTTGTTAAATCTGAAAGAAAAAGAAAAAAATCATAAGAGGCTTAAACTTAATTCACATTTAAAATTGGTCCATGTTATTGGAACACCATATATATATATATATATATATATATATATATATATATATATATATATATATATATATATATACAAATACAATGTGTGATGAGTAAATTGTCAGCATATTATATTTTTTAATATTCAAATCTGACCAAATGGTAAATATATAAGACAATTTGGAAAACTTCTATTCAATATAGTTTTGGCGATTGATCGACAAAACATAGAATAAAAATCTTCAGAATTTTCTTATATATTTACCATTTATTAAAATATATAAGATCCAATACGTTGATAAGCACGCAGATATATACATATGTTTATGTGTGTGCATAGATTGGCTTCAAATATTGGCTCGGTGCTTAAAAAATTTTGCTATAAAGAGTACGATCAAAACGCGAATGGTAGGCTGTCATTTTTCTAAAGAAAGAATGAAAAATATATTAGATGATATTTCCTTTAGTTCGGATTGCACCGTAGGAACTAAAGACCAGTAACAAGTCCAATTTTTGGCCATTGGTCAAAGCTCAAGAGAGCTCGATACTACGGAACTGTTATCAACGCCAAATAGCAGAATCTTGCTGAACAGATGGACGGTCAAGACGTGACTTGACCAAGACTGGTTCTTTGTTTTTCTCTCCATTCCTTCTTTCGCACGACCACTTACTTATTTTTGGCGTCTGACTCTACAACGGGCTTTCCATACTTGGAAGGTACGTGGAGTCTTCTTTGTGAGATGAGCTCTTCTTTCTCACCGTCGGTACAAGTTGGCAGCCATTTTGAATGGTGGTCTAGCGCTCAGTCAAAGGTGATCGAGTGTCTATTCGTGACGCACCAAATGAAGCTCGTATTAAAGAGACGTAATTCTGTTAACACCGTATGAAGAGGTTCACAACGCTACTTTTCGTTTAAGTATCAGCTTCTGTGCGTATTTATATTTCGACAATGGTAAATCTTGGTAGAAATGTTTTGAGGCTATGGATAGGTTTCAGGCTGGGAATCTATGTACTTGTGTTTTAATTCATGACATATATATATATATATATATATATATATATAGTTAAACCTAGAGAGCCAGACAAACCTACCAAGGTTTAACCTAAGCGGATCGTCAGCCTTCCTCAGGTTTAACTAGGCGTGCTCTACTTATTGTATTGAGCACTTTATCTAGTTATTTTGGGTACTCGCATCGGGTTTTTTTTTTTCTTTTGGCCTTGAACTCGTATGCTGGACGATTATTTTCGGTTAACGTACAAGTTCTTGGTTCTTTCTTTTTTAATACTTTTTTCCTTTTGGTATTGGCTTTTTTATTTGCAAATCAACACACCGAAGGTTTTTCGAGCGAGTATAGTTTCTTATACTTATAAGATTTCTATTAATAATATATATATATATATATATATATATATATATATATATATATATATATATATTTCTTTATTAATATATATATATATATATATATATATTTCTATTAATAATATATATATTTCTATTAATAATATATATATTAATAATATATATATATATATATTCTGTTTATACGTCATTTTATAGATATTATTTATTATGCACTATTTTTTTTAATTAAACAGTATTAATTACATTTACCGGTCTGAATGTTCGAGAAATTTCGTGGAAAATATGCACTTTCCGACAGAAATTGAACCTGTAACCTTAATAGGAACCGTTATTTGATCTGATGTGCTGTTAACCATTCAGCCACAAAGAAGCGTTTGGTTTTCAAATTCCGAATTACTGTTTAGAAATACATACCTTCGACAATTTTTATCAATCGATCATTTCTACTTAGGAAACATATCTTAATATAAACAATGACAACATAGTATCAAATGGATTAAATTTATTTAATATATTTTCTGTCGAAAATATATTTTTCCCCAGCTTACACCGTCACGGATTTTTTTTTTTTTTTTTTTTTGTCTTGTTGAGATTTTCTTCGATATTTTGCGAAAAAAATATTATCTTAATCTCGCATGTATCTGATATGGTTAATAACAGGGATGAATTACTGAGAAGGATCTCTCTTTGACGATCAAAGATCAGGACAAATCTGGATGTTGCTAGTCAGGAGGACGAACTCTGTGCTAAGATATTTTTGGCTCTTCAAAAAAATGGTTAGCGTACTAAAAGAAGATATAGACCTGCGTTAAGAAATTACAACAGTCTTCTTCTGAGGTTGGATATCGGGAAAGAACCCTTGATGTATTCATTAAGATTCCGGAGAGAGCTCGAGGATCTGGAACTTGGATTCCTCCCTGCCGCAACTTTGAAGTCGTCGCCTCCAGGCCCGCCAGAGATGGATAGGAGCCCGTCTTCATTCATCGTCAAGCCATTACAGATCCAGATTACTTGTGCTACGTTCAGTAGCCAGGAAATGCAGACTGACCGGATGAGTTTCCGAAATTTCGTTTTGAGAATTGTGTAGGCGGCGTTGACAACTATGCTGAGAGGTTAAACTTTTTAAAATGTTCACTCTCTGGAAAGGCCTTACTGCTGATCAACCATCTGGATATCAGCAATAAGAATTATCGAATGGCCTTCGATATCCTGAGGGGTGAATATCTGGATAAAGGTGACATCATCGACAACATTTTCCAAGACATACTGGACTTCTTTGTTAAACGAGAGAAGTCTTTTTCATCTTTGCCTGAATTTTGATCCAGGACAGCCTCACTTCTGATGGAGTTGGAAGGCACTTTTCAACTGTGCTTTCTCGAATGACCAGTCTTCTGGTGCTCGCCTCTTCCTTTTCTCTAAATTCCCCAGAGAAGTTAAGGGCGAATTAATTCAGCTCTCAGGTAAGAGAATTCCCACATTGTCTTCCGTCCTAGGGGATACCAAGAAGGCGATTAAACGTCTCCCTATCAAGGGGGATAATTCTTCGGACACTGCTCATAATCCTGAACGGAGTTCCTTTAGAGATGCAGAATCACGGCTTCGATCCAACCCTACCTGGAAGGATTCTTCCTTCCGTGTTGACTCTGCATCCCGTACTTATTCTGGGAGTTCAACTAATCTCCCGCCTGTCTTGTGTGTATCCTTTGGTAGAAATTGTGAAAGTGTCTCTGTTATGTGTTTGTTGGACACTGGGAGTTGGCGGACCTATCTGTCCAGTGAAATTTTTGAAGCCCCTCAGCAGCCTGGAATCCTTAGGGCTTGATTGTGAATTCAAGTTATCAACACTCCTTGGAGACTATGACAAGCGCTTCAAGGGAATACTCCTGGAAATCAATGTTGATTCCAGTTGTCCACTTACACTCCCAGTGTTAGAGGATAATAACATTGATTTGTCAGTGTACATTGATGAACTGGACTCCCTTTTGGATGAATTCCAACGTTGTAACTGTCCCCTTGCAGGCAGGTTTGACAGAGGCACCAATTCTATTCCAATTACGCTAGATTTAATTCAGCACCTAGGACCCCTTCAGCTGGTGCCTTATCTGCAAGTGTGTGCTGGAGTCTAGGAGTACATATGAAGATCCTCTAAGTGATTTCTTCCCTGACAGTGATGTACAAAGAGGTTTAGAAATAATGTTCAGCATGGAGTCACTTGGGCTTAAGGAATAATTGTTGTCTAACTATGACGAGTAGATGGTTGCGCTCATTAGATAATCTATCACATTCAGGAACGATAAGTATTACATTCGACAACATTGGGAGTCCGAAATGTTATCTTGTGTTCCTTCCAAGCATTCTGTGACCATTCGTGTCTTGGACTATGTGGCACGGAAACTGGAACGTGATGGGAATTATCAGGACTACTTGGAGGTTTTCCGCCATCAAGAACGTCAAGGAATAATAAAGGAGGTTTTTTGTTACATTTCACCAGTTTAAGGAATATATTTGGTTTCCACACAAGCCTGTCCTGAAGGCAGATTCTACGTCTACCTGTTTTCAACTGAAGTCTCAAGACAAATAATTCGCCTTCTCTTAATGGGGCTGCCTACCAGGGAGTGAACCTTACGAACGACCTGTTGGAATTACTGCTATCCTTTCGAGCAAACAATGACATTGTGTTGGCTGGGGGCCGATGAGAACAGGTTCTTTTTCTTCCTGAAAAACAACGGTAAGCTGCGTTGTTTCAAGTACACCACAATTATTTTCGGATTCACTATTAACCCCTTTCATACTGAGTTGCGTTCTCCGGTACCATGCTGCTCAATTTATTTTGGATCCTTGTAGACATATGATGGAGAATCGGTTCTACGTGGACAATCTGATGATGACCAGTGATAGTGCAGATGAACTATGCAATTTATATGCACTTTCCAGGGACCGATTTCAACTATGAGGGTTTGAGTTGCAGTTTTGTAAATATGACAGACATGCAAAATTTAATTAATTTTTTTTATTTTGTTTTTCCAACCTTCAGATTTTTTTTTCCGTTTGGATTGAACGAGGGAGTATGAATATTTTCCATAATTTTAATTGTCCCAAACACTTTCGGATACTTCTTTAGCCATTTTGTAGAAAAATTGACGGTTCAGTTAGGAGGTTTAAGGTACTTACCTGGGTTGTTGTTCTGGTTGACTAAAAGCTGTTACCTTCTTTTTACTTTTTTTTTATAGTTACAAGGTCTCGTGACTTGTTATCACGTGATCATTGAAGTAGTTATTATAAAGGAAATGTTATTTCTTCATTTTTTTAACCCTTTGTTATGCTACGTAAGTTATCTGACGGAGAAGCTACGTCGCGGAAGTGGATATTTTTTCACAACTTAACGTAAGTACTTTTGTTCGTTTTTGGGTTTTTATTTTTTTTTGTTTTGGGTTAAGATTTTCTCGAGAAATTTCAAGGTGGTTTTGTTTTGCTTTATCTTTGTGCCATTTTGAATAGGAGCGTTTGTTCCGAGCCTTCGTGTGTTGAGCACGGATGGAATTCGAATGGGCTCCTATTCAAAATGGGCTCCTACTATAAAATGTATCGTTGATCATTTTACTATAAATATGCATTGTTAATAATTTTACTGTAAATATGTATTGTTTGTAATTTTGAAAATTTGTAATATGAAAATGTATTACTGGTATTTGTATCATAAAAATTTATTTTTATACTTTCATAGTGATTTGTTTTTGTTTGGGGGGGTCACTATTTGCCCATAGCTGGGATCCTAACAGGTGCTACTACCTCGGATCAGGGTAGATATGGGAACAATAGTAATTAAGGGGTGGTTCGACACTCCTCAAAATCTCCAATCTCCGGATCAGAGGTCTTGCTGCCGGATGTAGTATATCGTCATTCCCAGGACTTCTTTGTTTTCTGATCAATTCATCCGTTTACCCTTTAATGGACATGTTTTATCACATCTCTGCGGTTACCCCGACTAGAAAATAAAAGATTGGGGTTGATGTGGGCATGCAAGTAGTTGTAAGTAAATTTTTACGGGGTGGGGGTTGTTCGACGGCGCCCAAGTTAGTGACTTACAGTTTACCGATAATTGTTAGAAAGAACAAAGTCCATTGTCAGCTATAGCATACTGTACTTATTTTCACTTCTGTTAAATATATATTGTAGAATGTTAGAATTACTAATAAATATGCTTAACACTTCCAACTGCCACTATTGAAAGGAGAGACTAAAAGGCAACAATATTTCATTTTCACTTTTTATAAACTAAAAGATATAAATTCACAGTCAAATGATAGATAGATAGATAGATAGATAGATAGATAGATAGATAGATATTTTCAAACTAAGACAGATAGAAAGATAGATATTTTCAGACTGAAATAGATAGATAGATAGATAGATATTTTCAGACTGAAATAGATAGATAGATAGATAGATAGATAGATAGATAGATAGATAGATAGATAGATTCAGACTGAAACGGATAGATAGATAGATAGATAGATAGATAGATAGATAGATAGATTCAGACTGAAACGGATAGATAGATAGATAGATAGATAGATAGATAGATAGATAGATAGATATTTTCAGACTGAAACAGATAGATAGATAGATAGATAGATAGATAGATAGATAGATAGAAATGAACATAATAGATATGTACAGACTGAAACAGAGAGATAGATATGAACAAACTGAAACAGATAGATAGGTAGATAGATAGAAAGCCAGAAACAATAGCGATAAAAACACAAACAGAAGCACGAAGAGGCTCTAATAGAGGTAAATGTGATTCCTCCGTAATTTTTTGCCCATCCTAGATCTCCTTTCATTGAAAAAAGAAGTATACGACCTTCTGTCCATCTTTCTATGACGTTTCCATTATACGTGGCGTTACAGATTTGAAGCAGAATATCGTTGAAATCGCGAGTCTTCCAGATGAACGTCATCAAGTCCCGCTGCTTTCCTATTTTTATTGCTTATTAAAGCCACTTCAAGTTTTTCATTTGTAAAATTTTCAGGTTTAATGTCAAAAGGATTTCTAACGATTGGTCGAATTTAGTATCTTAAATGTCAGCTACATTTCCATATAGATTTAAAAATCTATATGGAAATGGTACCTGACATTTAAGATACTGGCCATTTATTCAGCCATTCAGCATGAGTACTGCTTTTTAACTTGGATTTATTTTCCGCCACTGATCGCGATGACAGTTTTCCAAGCAAGAGCAGATTGTTTGTTGGCAGCAGCAGAGGTGATGAGCCGAATTCTTTCCTCTCGTGTTTAAAGGCACTATTCGACTTTATTTGGGCATCGACGCACTTTGTAGCCGAGAGTTCAAAGCATGTTCGATCTAATTACGGTTTCACCAAGGGAGACGCAGGTTCGAATCCTACCGGATAACTCATATTTTTCCCTAGTAAGATTTCTCGAATATTCAGGCCAGGGGAAGAAAATAAATAAATATACTGTTTGATAAATAAACAAAGCGTCTTCTTAAATACGATTATCCGCTAAAAATAACGTTTAATATATATATATATATATATATATATATATATATATATAAACTGTAAGTTTCACTCGGCAGTGTTGAAGTATACAACACAGGTGCCTGAGCAGAAGTCTGCAACAGGGATTATACAGCTACATTAGAAGGCAGGGATGCTCTGAAAATGAGTAGTCGAATGGCTTAGAAATCTCTATCTATAAAAGGCGGGATGTGTGTGTGTGTGTGTGTGTGTGTGTGTGTGTGTGTGTGTGTGTGTGTGTGTGTGTGTAACGAATGCACGGCCGCAATTTTTGACGGATATGCACCAAAATTTACATGCACATGCTCCAAGTTATCGGAATGGCCAAGACCGACTTTGCATTTCCCAACTCCCATCGATAGCGGAAATAATCGATTTTTTTCATGCTTCTACGGCAGTTTTCATGTAGTTTGCGCCCATTTTCTACTGACCAGAATGAGAGCCACGAATAGGCAGGAAGATTCTATTGGCCAGCGTGAGAGCCAACAGCTGACTGACACGAATGTTAACTAGCATGCTAGCATGCAAAAAAATTCGATAGCTGCATTCGTCACAAGTGGGAAAAATGTAAATCTGCATGGCACTTTACTCCAATTGGCTCATTCGCTTGCTTAAACTCAACGTTGATTCTGATTCCGCAGAACTGGGTTGGGTGTGAAAAAGTATTTGTTGTTAACATTCTTTTTTCATTCGGTTTTTCCAGTTACGAGTCCTTTTTTTTAAAGCTGATCGTTTTGTGTTCATTTTGTTTAGTTCTTTTTTCATAACAGATTTAATGTTTAGTATAAAGCTTAGAAAAAATCGCAGTGTGAGATAGGCAAGAAGTAAGGCATGTAGCAACATCAGCACGGCAAAGGGCACTCCTTTAAAGGCAAGGAAGGGTAAACATATTTTAAGTCAAGTGATAGCGATTGCTGTATGAGTCGTACGATTTTTGAATCCGGGCCGAGCCATGCTGCTAGTTTTGAATAAAGAGGTTTCTCACAGTATACCAGCACAATTTTTAGAATAAAGTGCGATATTTAACTTTGATAAGACAAACAAGAAACCGTTTCACATTGTATTACTTTTATGTGTATACGCTTTCAGGACGTGGTTGTTTAAGGCTCTCCACAACTTTATAATTTTTACCGTTACACTTTGACCCTTTACGGTCCTTATTTATCCCAGTTCTTCTATCCAATCTCGCTAAGTAGATTATTCGCTGTTTCTCTCAGTTTCTGTTGCCTTCAGTTTATCCTGTGCGTGTTAAATTCTCCAAACAGTCTTTCCTTA